AAATAGCACCATCTGGTAGTATACTGTAAAATTTACAAATGAGTTATCGTTCCACAAAATGAAACATTAACATTACAAAATGCATGATTATATTCTGTAATGGCTGTGAGATTTAAAAAAAATGTGCTTTTAAAAGGACTAAATGGGACATTTGGTTGAGGAAGTGTCAATTTTACACTGTGCAAAAACTAATAATGCATTTTCATCAGTGTGGTTGATCATCTTTGACATATTCAAGACTGTGTTTAAAAAGAAATTACCTAGCCCCTATCATATAGGATTTAGAAAATAACTCATTTTTGTTTGTTATTGCTATAGAAAGCTGTGACATCATTTAATCACACTCTCATTTAAAGGGTTAAAATCTTAAAAATAATGGAATATTTTACAGTTTTGATCAGGACTGAAGTTGATTAAAAGATTGAACCCCAAAAAATTGAAAAGAAAAAAAAGATTTTATAGGCCTATACTTTTTATAGCAGTTTTAGGGAGCGGACACAATTGGCTCTAGAAGGTGTGAACATCTTAAATCTGACACTGTATAAACAAATAATGCATTTTCATCAATGTGGTTGATAGTCTTTGACATATCTTGGCTCTCGTGTCTAATAAACCATGTGACCAGGAAACTACTCCACAAACCAATAGGGGAGTGTTTTCAGCGAGCAGGTTAAAAGGAGTGTGAACGCGGGTTGATGGCATTGACGAGAAGTGCTTCATACAGGACTCATCATGGTGAAACCGAATACTGCACTGTAAGTTTACAATATGCAACTCTGCTCTACAGAGTTGAGTTTTCTACATTCTCGTTAGGTTTGTGACATGTCAGACATATTAATGCAAAACGATAGACCTAGTATACTGGAGGGCTTAAGTGCTTTCTTTTTTGTAATAAATTACTTTATAATAATTAGTTATTATAAACCAAGTGTGAGAGCTGGCAGCATCTTTGCTCTTTATTTCTATAATTTATTATTATCATTATTATTATTATTATTCCTCCTTTTTTTGGCTGGTATCTACTCCTATACTAATTGTGCTAGAAACATGGTTCAAACTGGAAATGGTAAAGCTAGGTGATGAGAATTGTGCTAATACTTGTAGTGATGCTATAATGTTTCAGTGATTTAATATGAATATTTTAAACTGTAAAAAAATGAATGGAACCCTATGGGACACAATTTTGAAAGCTCATAACTCAAAAACTGATAGTACTGTGGTATTCAAACTTCAGATTATGGTTCCTAATGGTACCATGTTTACCATACTAAAAGATGATACTCATAGCGCCACCATATGATGAGAAATTAAGCGTTATGCTACCAATGATAATAATTTGCTAAAAGTTAGCCGTTCTAAAATAATAATCACAAAGAGTGTTCCTTGGATGGTACTGAAAAGATCGGTTTAACGGTGTGCCTATAAAGACAGCAAACGTTTTACTGTAATCAGTACTGTAAACAAAACATTTTCTATTTCGCTTAATGTTTGATCATTTTGTCAACTGCCTTCAGGAAGGCATCAGGATGTTGTATGATTTTTTTCAGAATTTTACAATCAAATTCTGAAATTTGAAGTGTTTAAATTTGAAAAGAGTTTTCACCAAGTGACGTCATTGCCTCATATAGTGAAAGTGCATGCTGAATCCTTGTCTGTACTGTGGCGCAGTGACTTAGGCTGCTGGCAAGTCCACCTAACTCGAAGATACTGTATTCAATTCCTGAGAAACTACATAAGCTACTCACTAGCATGCTGACTCCAGGTCATGTGTGCTGTGAAGGTTTTTGCTTTTCTCAACACTTAAATGTTTGACTGATTTTAACTGAAATTTTTAAATGTTAAATATCAAATAGAGCAGATCTTAAATGGCTGATATCTCAAAAACTAAAAGTGCTATAGTATTAAAACTTGGCAATATGGTTACTTGTAAAATGCTCAATATACTCATAAATGATCCTATAGCACCAGCATCTGGTCAGTCATCAAAAAGCTGATATCTCAAAAACTAAAAGTGCTATAGTATTCAAACTTGGCCATGTGGTTACTGGTTGTACAATGCTCAATATACTCATAAATGATCCTATAGCGCCACCGTCTAGTCAGTCATCAAAAATGTTGTGTTCAAGGCTCATATACTCATAAATGACTCGTTTGCTGCAAATTGTATTCCATTTGTAAGTTCACTTCTCTATATTTCTTACAATTGTGTTCAACATTTTTTTAAAGTCTAAGGTCTAAAAACCAAAGATTTTCCAGTGTTTTGTCACTGCTCCATAGTGTGGTATGGTTTGATGGTGTTTTGTCTCTCTGTAGCCCAGTGGGTGAAACAGCTACTCAGGTAATCTGATGATTATGGTTCGATTCCCCAGAGTTCCATACTACTTGTTTATTATGGAAACTTGTTCCTGTGGTGACAACAGTCACCAACAGTTGACCTACAGGTGGTGCTCAAGTACTTCAAAAATGTTAGCTGCTGCTTGGAAGTGGAAAAAGCTGCCAAACAGACTGTGGTAGCGATGGCTGCCAAGGCCATGGCTGTGATTCTAGTTGAAAATGTGGTTTCAGACATGCCTTTTTTTCTTTTTCAGAAAGTCAATATCGTGGATGTGGGCAATAATGACGGTGCCTAGGGGTGTGTTTTTACTCCTGCTTTTACAGTGTTTTACTGTAAGAACATCAGGTAAACCATCTGACTTCATTTTCTCATGTATCTTTTCTCCTATTTGAGTTGTCATGTGCTTCAATTAAAAGCATTTGATCAAATGAATAAGTTCATTTGTTTCCCGACACACAAACCAAACTGATTGCGCTATATATGTGGGGGTTTTGAAGACCAATTAATAAGAATGTGATACTCAACTTTTTCACAGTATAAGCCTACCCCGCTAAAAATTCTTATGATATTTAATTCTGTTAGTGTTGCATTTTACCACCCCAGTGATAATGTATATCAGCTATTCTTACATTATTTAAAGAGCCCATATTATGCCCTTTTTGGGGTTCGTATATTTAATCTATGTACCTACTTTTGTACGTTCACAATAGCTAAAGTCCGAAAAAAGTGTCTGTTTTCATGTACTGCTCCTCCTTGCTCCCTCTACGCTCTGAGTCCATCAGCTACGCTCTGCTGAGCCCCCACTGTTAGACTCCACGTGGGCCAAGTCTGCTCTGATTGGTCTTCCGATCCGCTCTGTCATTATTGGTCAGTTGCTCAGCACGCGTCTCGTGTCAACAACATGAGCTGCAGGGCTTGCCACAACGAGCCAATGGACTTAGATCAGTGATCTTACACTGAAAATGACGTTGGACTGACACATTTTTATCGAGGGGGGCTAGAACCAACGTTACATGCAGCTAATGCTGCAGCTAACAGGAGGAGGTAGGAGAAGCTGCGTTTCTGTGGACTTTGAATTTATGCACATAGATGTGCCTAAACATGCACAGGACACTTGGAAAACACACTAAAGGGCATATAAAACCAGAAAAATCATAATATGGGACCTTTAAATACTAACAGTTTAGATGTCATTTTTCTGCACCACCAGGGTTTTCCCCCAGCTCCACATCAGGTCCCTCCTTCCAGTCTGTCCAGTTCAGCTGTGGCTCCACTGTGTGTCCTTCAGGCACAGACTGTGTCAAAAAGAATGGGACTCTCCAGTGTGCTGACCCCTGCCAGGAGTACACTGTGCTGAATGATGACTGGCGATCAACAAATAACACGTCCACCCAGAACCTACACTGTGACCGAAATGTTGACTGGCAAGGCTGGTATCGGCTGTTTCTGGCCAAACCAGTGCTAATATTCCAGAGAAGTGTGTGGCTGAAAACAGGTGTGGAACCCATGCTCCTCTGTGGATAACAACTCCTCATCCCACACAGTCAGGTCAGATTGTGAACCGCACTGTGTGTAACTCATGGTCAGGAAGCTGCTGTCGTTTCTCCTCACACACCATCCATATCAAGCTCTGCTATGGAAACTACTTTGTCTACAAACTTGAGCCGCCAAGCAACTGTTACCTTGCATACTGTGCAGGTATTGTTCCATTTGTAACATTAAGTCTGTAACAAGAGATTTAAAATTTTCATCTAAATGAGTTATTTAAAGAATGACTCTATTGTCCTGTTCTTATAAATTCTGATTTAAAATGTTCCTTTAGTTAAGCAACAGTATCTACTTGTTTTCACTGTAACCAGAGGTGAACGAAACAATTCCTGGAGATCCTTCAACCACACCTGATCCAAGTACAGCGACCCCTTCTGCCAGTCAGGTCAATATCCCCTCCACCACAACACCCGACAACAGCTCAGCAGTTGAGGGTGAGGTCCGTCTGGTTAACAGAGGGAACCAGTCCTGCTCTGGCAGAGTGGAGGTCTACCATGATGGTCGGTGGGGGACAGTGTGTGACAAAGCCTGGGACCTCAGTGATGCTAACGTGGTGTGTAGACAGATGGACTGTGGCCCTCCTCGTTCAGCATTACTAAATGCAACTTTTGGTCCGGGCAGTGGACCCATCTGGTTGGATGATGTTGGTTGTTCCGGCAATGAAACATCAATAACAGAGTGCAGACATCCAGGGCTTGGGGTCCACAACTGTAATCACTTTGAAGATGCCAGTGTCGTCTGTGAAGGTTAATGTTTACTCTTGTTTAAGTAATCGCCAATTCTTGTTGCTCATATTAAAGAGGACATATTATATCCATTTTCCACCTTTTCAAACAGTCCCCTGTGGTCCAAATGAAACATCTGTGCTGTGCTTTGGTCAAAATATAACATGAATCAAGCACCAGAGGAGGTTTGTGACCCTGTATAAACCAGTTCTCTCAGAACATTTGTTTGGTGTGTGTGTCTCTTTAAATGCAATGACCCCCTGAGATTTCCCTGTAGACATCACTCCTCTGTAACGAGAATAAAAATGGCAGATCTGCGCAAGAATTTTGTTCTAGGCTGGGGGTGGAGTCCATTGGTCGAGGTACCAGGGGAGGGGAGGGTATATTTTTTACCAGAATCCCACTGTGACATCACAAGGAGACCAAATTTGAGACGGAGGATTTTTCTTTGTGTTGTAAGACTTACCTGCAGAAAACAAAGGACTGGAGGGATTTATTTCACATTTTGTGGGTCAGTAGACACTCAGGTTACCCAAATATATGTTCAAAAACACTGTCGAAGTGGATTTTTCATAATATGTCCTCTTTAAATTCCAATAGTTGTACTAAAATGATTTTCTTTCACATGTTCATAGTGAAGCGACAGTTTACAGAGTTTGTGATTTAGTTTCACAGGATATATGCATGATAATTTTTATTGTGTTCTCTTCCTTTTATTCTTTTATTTCCAGACTCTGCACTGCATGATCACCAGCTAATTTGCAGCCCTGGTAAACTTCAAATGGGGCTGGATTTGGCTGACCTCACCTCAGGTTTGAACCCATACTCTGGCAACTTGGCATCTCTTAATTGCTCCTGGGCCAGAGTACAAAATAACACGGTGTGGTATGAAGTAGACGCTGTGGAAGGTGCCTGTGGAAACACTCTGACGGTACAGACTTAGTTGTTGTTTTATTTCTTAGCTTTTCCTTTGGAACTTAATTTCAACATTTTCTTTTGTCATGCTATTTTCCTTCAAATTGATTTTAAACATGCAGTTAATGGAAAAATGTTAAAATCTGGACCTCTTTAAAATATTTATCCTATTGTCCCTCTTCTTTTACTGTACTCCAAGTTAAACCTTATCGCTTTTGGTTGGTCTGAGACTAAATTTAAGGTGCACAGGGACTCATTATTCATTATCTTAAAACATTTTAAATATAGCTTCTCCCCCCTGTAGGGAAGTTTTTTCTCCCTCTCTTTGGTAATGCTTTTAATGCAGCTGCTCACAGCACTTCAACTAAAGTTTACATGTCTATGTACTTTCCGTTAACTCAATCAACCCGTTTTTCAGACCAACCGCACACATGCGATCTACTCCAACAGTCTATTTGTCTACCCTGTTATCAATGGGTCCTTTAACCTTCCTGTGAGCATCCCCTTCTCCTGTGCGTATCCCCTGGAAACAGACACCAGCCTGAATGTGGCTATCAGACCATTCCTGCCGTAAGTAGCCTCCCTCTTATTGATTGTTACTAACTATGCACTAGTCAATATGTCATGTGAACTGTTTAACTAATACCTGATAATACTTCTGAGATCAAATGTTGATATTAACTATATAACCAGGTGAATCATTTTTGATACACATGTCCTCAGTGAGTTCCTTTAGTTACAGACAGCACATAGATAATCCACCAGGGGGCCCCATTACACCTTTGGCATATCAAAAAAGAAGGTTGTCAGTTAGAGACAAAATGTACACTACATTTGCCATTTAAAAAATAAAGATAAAGCAAGGAAAACAATTCATATTGTTACTAAGATCATTTTTATATTCTTCATTGTTTTCATATTTTAAGTTTTGTGACTTATTTTGTACCTAATATAAACAGCGGGTAGGCCTTTGTTGTATGTACGCAATCTTTAGATGGCAAATACGTACAGCAATGAAGATGTTAAAAAAATACAAAGCAGTCAGCAAATGGAAAATTAAAGGGGAGGGGATCTGAACCTTCAGTGGTCAAGAATATTAAAATATTTCTTATCATCATGGCCCTATCCTTAATAAAACATTCCTGGTGTATCAATACGTGTATGTGTACATCATTATGAGTTTTATTATCCATTATTTTTGTTAAGTAGCTTCTTATCCAGCACCCTGTTTTTAATGAACTGGATAAATCTGGTCAGCCATTTTTCAGCCCATAATTTAATTGTATCATCTATTGTTTTTGGTTTGAAGTCTCTGTCACTTGCAATTTCTCTCAAGTACACCAGGTCTTTTTGGAGTTGCTTTGTTCGTGTAACTTTTACCCAGGCTCTTAATGTACTGCTAATGAAGATGTTGTCTATTCTATCGGAGGTAAGATTAGTTACTTTTGTAAATATGCATTAATTTGTGAATGCACATGCTCCTTTTATATAAATGCTCCTTTTATTTGGGCACCTATGTAGTAGTTAGAGAGGTTTGGTAGGGCTAGTCCTGCAGATGTTTTTAATTCGAGCTTTTATCCCTCCCCAAACAAAAACCAGGCTTGATGAATAAAAACACAGTTGTGCTGGTTTGATCAAAAAGTCAGTGATATCATATTTTTTAAAATCAAATTCAAAGTGGAAATTGCCATAGCAATATTAAACCAAGAATGTGATGGTACCACAGTGAATGAAAGCAGTGTTGTAGGGTTTGTGGCAGCAGCATGAGTATACAGGATGTCTAACCTATAACCCACTTTAAATAACATCATAGACTACAGTGTAGGTTTTTTTCTGTATGAAAAAGAGAAACATGCTTTGTACAGCACTAAAGCCCGTTAATAAAGTGTTTGAGTGAGGTCCAAACACACGTTTTGTTGGACAGTCAGCTATTTGAATTTATCCCAGAGTAATCCCATTGTTGTACTGTAAAGTCGATCCCTCTTCTCTCGCTTTGTCCTACCCTAACCCATCATCAAATTATTCTGGACAGGAACATTTTTATTCCACTGCCTGTTGTCTGTATCAGCATGATTACATAAACTACTACAACCACAAAACCAGATTATTCAGAAATCATTTTGATTGTACAAAATTGAAGGTCCTATATGTATCTTTTTACATGTATAAATCGTTTTTTATTGCCCATTAATAAGCAAACAGTTAACTGATGTGAAAAAGTAAATGTTCACTGTCTATCTATGTTCCTGTATAAAACACTGTCGTTTGTAAGATGGAGAATGAATCTAATATGGAATCTGTTAGTACAAATAAACGACCGGCCTAAAGCAGAACACAGACTCCTTCACAGACTCTCACATGTGTATGACCACTTACCTCCTCTGTAAACTTTATGCCGGTAAATATCCAGTGTTTCGTGGCCGATGATGATGCTTGTTTGTGTACGTACGAGCACGTATGACGAACACGTGAGCGAGAGCGAGCAACAGGTTACTGGTGCAGTTCACCTAACGGCCTGCAGTGTCACTACGAATGCAGTATTTTTGAAAGTTACATATAGCCCCTTTAAGATGTTTAATTGAACATCAATTCAAACTTACTTTCTTTGCAGGTCTTCAGGGGGTATTTTAGGATCTGGTGCCGGACCCAGTGCCGTCATGTCTCTTTTCCGTAACTCCGCCTTCACTGAGACTTTCCCAGCTGGAGGGGTCAACCTGCCACTGGGTTCACCTTTGTACGTGGGTGTCTCTGTAACAGAAAGAGAGCTCAGATTTGTTGTTGTTCTGGAGGAATGTTACGCCTCTCACTCATCTGATCCTCACTATTACCAGCGATTCTCTCTCATCCAGAACAAGTGAGTGTCCCTCTTCTCTTTAGACTCAGAACATTGTTTGTGGAGTTAAACTGAAATGGAGAAAAGTGAGATGTAGTGTAATATGCTTTATGGACTTGGTGAGCTCTTTTCGTTCTCTCTGCCAGGTGTTCGACCGATGCCCGACAGGTGTCTGTGATTGAGAGCGGCATGTCTTTGCGTGCTCGTTTCTCTGCCCTGCTCTTTCTGCTGGAGGACGATTATAGAGCCATTTATCTTCACTGCAACATAAGCCTGTGTGACCGAGAGAGATTTCACTGTGTCCCAGTAAGTCAAACAGTTCACTTCATCAATGAGTTGTTCATCCATAATCACTGCTGCTTAAAAAAAGGACAGTGACAATATCTGCTCTTTCTGTATCCTCTCCACCATGAAGTCCTGTCAAAGGAGGAAATATCGCTCTGTTTCCAGCTCTGTTGCTATGGACCGCGTCACCATTGGACCAATTGCTTGTGAGTAAAAATATGATTTAGTCTGAGGGCTGATGTCCCAACACAATAAACTGTGTGGAAATAACAAGCATGTTTTTTCTTATATCTCTTTCCTAATCTTTAGGGGACAAGTCAACTAAGTGAGCTGGTTACACCAACACATCCCATAATGTCATATCATGAAGACGTTTCTCTTATGCACAAGACATGAAACTATTTTAAAAACTGGTTTAACCTTTTATAATCAAACTTTTCACACTCACACACAGTCTGCTCTGATTCTTCTGTCCTTTGTAATGATTGTGTAACAAATCAACAATAACAAAGAAATAATAAAATGTATTAAAAAAACATGTTACCAAACTCTTCTTCACTGCTGTGGTCATTTTGGGTGCAGACATGATTTTAATTTTTCATTATATATAACTTTATATGTTCTTTCAGCATGTTTTAAATTACATTTGTCTTGAACCAATGTTGTTTGAAAGTAGATTATTAAACTAATGACAGATTTTCCAAGTTAGGTGAAAACTGTAACCTATTATGCAAGTTTGCAGGTGTTATAAATAAACACTTTAAAAAAAGATTACACTGATTGTTGAATATGTCAGACTTAACCTTTACAAATCCTGCCCATCTGTGCATGAAGAGGTATTTTATGTAGCTAGATTAAATATTAGAAAAATACAATATGTTGATTTATTTTTTCCCCACATATCCCATGGAACTTTTATTGACAAAAAAAGTGACCAACGTTCCCCAGTCGGGTTCAGGGTTTGGAGCAGTCAGGGTTAATTCCTGCCCAGCCGTTCATGTTCATTTTAAGTAGCTCTCAACTTTTTGTCCATCGACAGTCGTCGCCATGTCCAACAATAATGCAAGCAACAACTTAATCATCGCTCAAAGGGCCGTGAAGCAACTCCGGTTAGACATCACCTAACCTTTTATATGGATATAAATGGTCTTGGTTCCTTTATTCTCTAAACTTCCTCTATTAACAAACTCAGTTTCTCAAGAATTGTATGTGAAGGGGACTTCAAGTAAAATTCTCGAGAAACTGAGTTTGTCTTTAATTCCCTTTCAAATAAGATTTTTTTAAATAACTAATTTGAGGTGTTTTGTTTTTCTTGCTTGCTGTAGAATTACTTCACTTCAGTATTCACCATCTTGTTTATCAGGGTTTTAAAAGTTGATCTCAGCGAATAGCATAACATCAGTATCTTCTAGAGCAGTGGTGTCCAAACTTTTTTTCTTGCGGGCCAAATTTGTCGTGTTAGAATCGCTTGCGGGCCACAGCTTTTGTTTTTTTAAAATATAGTTGAAAAAATAGTAAGGCTTTGTAGATCAGATTTAAAAGGCTCGGTAAAGAAACCCTTTAATAAAAGGAAATCAAATATTTTGATTTCTTCGTTCTACTTTATTTGTTTTTTTTCTCAGAATCAAGCCTGTAACATGTTTTTTTTTTTTTTGGAAACGCTTTCTGCATTTAGCTCAGGTCATTAAATGGTTAAACAACAGTCCGCTTGTTCGCAAAAACTTTGCATAGTTTCATAGTTTACAAAAAAATGCGTCACGTTACTGAACATTTTCTATTTTAGGAATATTGTTCAGCCCTTGTTAACATGAAAAAGAAAAATAAGATAATGTGCCAATCTTAATCAAGGCCTCGGGCCAAAATCTTCGGATTCTTCATTTGAAGTCACGGGCCGCAAAAAATCCCCTCAAGGCCGCACTTTGGACACCCCTGTTCTAGAGCCTGACTGATAAATCGGCCAGCCAATAATATCGGCCGATTTTAGCATATCCAGTTACTATCGGTATCGGCTAATTTTATTGTAGATATGCGCCGATATTACTAGATTCATTCACGAGCAGTTCTCTTTCACCAGTGGAGGGCGCTATATGGATTATAACAAGCATGATCACTCTCCTGAGAGTCAAGTGATGATACACGTTCATGCTCAGTTACTTTCCAGTTCAGTGACCATCTTGTCTACCTGGTCTATCTTTTCCACAGGTGTATTTGGGTTGCATCTGCATTTGAGGGATCAACATTAATGTTTTTATCTATATTTTGATCTATTTCTACAGATTAAAAATAGATCTAAGGAAGATATCGGCCGATATATCGGTATCAGATTACATTCTAACATTCAGAAGGTTATTGAACAGACTAAAATAACATTGAAGCCTCTTCAATACCTACAAAAGGAAACCAGACCATCACAGACAAATTATACTTTTTCTTTAAAGTAAATCACTCTTGTAACAATAAGAGGAGTAGAAAGTAGAAGGGGGCAGGTGAAATCCTGATGTATTGGTACAAATAGTGCAGCCATTGAATTTGTCCATGAGGGAGAGAAATGTAAGGGAGGTAGGCAGGAGTCAGGCTATCTAAAGGGTGCTGGTGATTGGGAGATGCAGGTGGATTTGAAAACACATTGTTCCACAGGAAATAGTTTCACTAGCCTGAGGCCTGACATAGTATTATGGTCTGTGAGTCAGAGGATAGTTTATCCTGTTTCTACAAACTCTCTACAGACTCAACTCTTGTTTTTCTCTTGTGTAATGTTAGCACCAGGAATAGTTTAATTTTTTGTTTATTTGTTTGTTTGGCCTTTTTTACAGAAGGACGCAATAGCTCAGAGAAGTTCTTCAGCTGGGTATAATGGACGCTGAGAGCTTGCATTAAGGAGGGTGGCTCTGGGACACCGGAGCTTGCTGCCAAGTCTTCCAGAGGTGTTGTGGGTCTAACTTGATGAAACACCGCTGGGTGGGAGTTTCCTATTAGATAACCTGACTGATGTGCTGGCTCTCACTCCCCCTTTAGTTTCATGGTTGGGTTATGGTGGCCATAAGGGCCATGTGGTGGGTTGTTTCTTGGATTGGACTTCGAGCAAAAAATAGGGGAGGTGACTACTCCAGTGATGAGGAAGAGGGCGAGTGTGGTGCCGTGGAGGCCACACGCACCTGGATGCCAAGGGCGTCGTTGTTCAATGATGGCTGCTTCTTCTGGCTGCTTCTTCTGGCTGGGTATTGTGTTCGTCCAGCTGGTTTGTCTATGACCAAATAGGGGAGAGGTTGCTAGCACTTCACCCAGCAGAAGGCTGGGCCTGCGGTGGAGTGGTGTCGGGTGGGTCTCTCAGCTATCTTGAGGGTGGGTGGTCAGGAGGAACTGGAAGGGTCCTTGCCACCGTTTAAGGACTTGACTGCAGCGAGTGGAGGGGACCCGTGGCTGGGCGTGGGATTGCTGATGCAACCTGCTTTCTGACATTGGAGAGGGTGGAGGACAGGTTAAGACAGTATTTCAGCATGTCATTTTCACAGAGAAAGGAAGAAGGTAATGCATGTGTAGGCTGCTCGACGCCGACATGTGGTGGTGCTGGAAGGAGGATTTCAAATGGGCTTAGGTTATAGCGCGCTCTTCTCCTCATCCTCATGTACATCAGCACCAGTGCTTTAGTACATGGCAGGATGGTTTCTTCATAGGTTTACCATCAGATTTTAGAAATTTGTGATGTTTCCTAAAAAAGCACCAAAGTAAACGACACCAAACGCATACCTGGAGTCTGTGTAAATAGTAACGGCTTGGTTACACCGCTGTGCAAACCCACAGCTAAAAGCTTTCATTGAGCCTGACTCTAAGGCTTGTTAGCCCATAACTTCTGCCTTACCTGAATGTGTTCAACAGTCCTGTCTGTTTAAGGGGTGCGTGTAGGTGACTCAACGCCAAGATCCTCGTTCGTGCCGCGACCAGCACACTCGGACAGCCTGATCCACAGAGTCATTTGGGAGCGATCTCCTCCGCCAGCCCGCGCTCTTTCATACCAGTTTCGATTATGTGCAAAAAAAACGTGAAGTGTCGACACCAAAAAAAACTTTAATTCAGATTCAGTCTCTCAGGTGTCTTGCGTCCTGGCGTCTCCCTCGTTGCGTCCCTTCCAATCAAAACCAATGCACCTGCTCTTCTGCAGATGCTGCTCATGAAGATTACAGAGACAGAGCCACCACACCCCCCTCAGGTGTGACATCAGTACTGACCCTGCTTCTCCTCCTACCAACCACACCTACCACTAAAGACACTGAAGTGTATCCTCCTGAAGCATTATCATAGCAGATTTGTGAGCGGCCAATTTGCAGGCTTCGGTCAAAGCAAACAGCTCTGCTGCCTGGGCTGAGAAGCGGTAAGGAAGAGGGCCAGAGGCGAGTACAGAGGAGTCAGAGACAAAAGAGAAACCCAATAAGTCTAGACGTATGGTCTGGACAGGGAATAAAGATGCTGTTTTGTAGTAAGGAGTTGGACACAGTTGTTATGCCATCTATGGATTCTTGCTATAAGGGTTATTGTTGTATCATCGTATTTGTGATGCCCACAAAGAGGAGGGAATATCCTCCACCTCTGGTGGAAGGAAGATTTCATCAGACAAAAAGGCTGTGGTGTGAGGTGTATCAGAAGTGCACAGACCTTAAAGCATCGGTGGTTAACACAAGAGGTGTGTGTGTGTGTTAGTACAGCAAGCGGTTCTTTTTTGCATGAGCATGTGTGTGTGTGAGCTTCACTTCCATTTGCTGTCTTTTCTTTCGGCATCGGAGGATGTTCCCATCTCTCTTCATTGCTCCCAGAAAAACAGTAAAACTACATGGACCATCCTGGAGAAATAGTGAAAAAATTAGTGATTCTTTGTCTACTTAGTTTAGAGCAGTTTTTGGTTTTATTGTGTAAAGTTTCTGACGCAAAACTATTGAATTTACATTAACAATCATTCTCTTAAAAGCAGCATGCATACAACCATTTACAGAATGTTCTCTTCATCTTTTCTTAATGAATATGCTTATATGTAAAATATCTTTCATTTATATTTGATGTTGTCATCATGCATTCAATCAACACAAATACTTCTCGTTTGTATGTTTCTAGAACAATGTTGCCTGAGCTTTTTTATCAATATTCTCAGACTTTTACATTTCCTCTTTGTTGGTGAAGTTTCTGATTCCTGACATTATTATTTTGAAGACATTTAAAGATGAGTACTGCTGCATGGTGTGTTGTCAACATGTATACATAACTGACTTCTGTAAAATCATTGAAGAGATAAATTAAAGATACTAATCAGCACGTTGATGTCTTCTAATGTTTTCTAGATAAGAATCACAGCAGAGTGTAAAATAACTGATATAGTAACCAGACAAATTATCATGTCATCTAGTACTAGTTTTACTGAAGTAACTTTTTTAGAAAATGAATCATGACATTTTTCTTCATCTCAAGCGTTTGGTTTTCTATATTCTACAAATCACCCCTCAGCTTTGAGATCATTACCATACATTATGAGTCCTTTTCCTACACCTTCCATTAGTTAGCT